TATTTAAAATACAACTTATGTGATGATTACAATTACAATTTATTTTAACAAGTATTTTAATTGAAAATTTAAGTTTATGTAGGGAATGCGATCGCCCAATAGCATCCCCGATTTAGCCACCACTGTATATAAGAATACAAATATCTCAAGCAAACGTATTCCAAATTTCTATTTTTTTGAATTTCTATTTTGAACAATGATCACATTGTCATATCAGGCACAAGCCCGCGGAGAAATTTCCCGGCGTCCCGGCATTTGAAGTCTTCGAACGCTTGTGATAGACAAAAATCGACTTCCGCATCATTTAAAATAATATACGGAATAAAGTAGGTACGACGAAAAAGTTTTTATTGACCAAAATGACATTTTCGGCGAGAAAGAAAGAGAAAAAATACGTTTTAGTAAAACCAATATGTCTTTCTCGCTCTACGTTCGAAATCAAAGCAAGAAAAAAACCATTACGACGTGTGTACAATAATTATACGTATCGATAGATACCGATAAAAATGGTAATTTCAATAAAAGCGACTGCAGTAGTGCGTGAAATTTATGTACGTATAGAAACAAACAAAAAAAAAAAAAAAACCCATAAAACATCATCACGAGACCGGTTGCGACTGTAGCAGCGGCACTAGACGAGAAACTGGTGTTTTATACCACGGGGAACGTTTTTCTCGCGGATGAAAAATACAAAAATAATATTATATTATAATTTTCTCTGTGCGCGTTTGGACTAACTTACCGGCTCCGGTATCGGTCGGTACTTACCTAATAGGTATTTTTTTTTCTTCTCGGACCGTGTACACGATATTATATTATGATAACAGATCGGCGCACAGTTTTCATCGACCGGTGCAGTGCAGTGTGTTCGGTGCACGTATTTTTCATTTTAATATACGCATATATTATATTATATGAGAACTAACAACGCGTCGGCGGCAGCAAGTCGATATCGTATGATATAAATAATAATATAATATAATTTATCTATCGTGCGCAGCTATAACGTCGGACGAGATAAATCTTCGGGCTATAATAGATGAGTGTACACTGTATAGCGATGATAACGATGTTGCGTAGTCGGTGGCGTTGCCAGGATTTATCAAAGGGGGGTGTTTAGATGGGGGTCTAGGGGTTACCTTCTCGGCATTACCTATAGAGAAAACAAAATGTAGACAACTTAACCTAGATACTGAGTTATTAAGTTTCGCGGATTCATAAACTATCAAGTCAATAAGAAATATTAAAATAACACCTTAAGGGAGGGGTAAAAAAAAAAATATTTTAAATTTTACGAGCCATTTAAGCCATTTGCACATAAATCGAATAAAAATATAATATTATAATATTATGTTATTATACTTTGCCCCCGTAATACCTCGTTACGTATGTACAGGGTACACGGTTGTGGCGACGTATTAAATATTGATGAAGGCGCGTCGCATACGTATAATACTATTTAACCTATACACGAGTATAGATTTCCGCAGTTTGAACGAAAACGGCGGCGAACCAGACGGAAAATGCATTATTTATTATGCATAGGTATACCGAGGTACGCGACGTTATTGCGACCGCGGGGTCCGACCGGGCACATGGCTATACGGCCACGGTACGTAATATAATTTATATTATTACCGTCGCGGAGGAGACGAGAGATGGATTTTTATGTGTATATATATTGGACCGTTTAGATATTCATCCGGTCCTTATCCGACGTTGACCGCGGTATAATCGTATGGGTATACGACGACTCGCGCGCGTTCACTCGTTTCTCCCCCGCCCCCTCTTCGCCGATTACTCATTCGCCCGCCATCCACTCCCCGCGAGGCCGGGTAAAAGTTTTCACCGCGGGACAAATCGCGACGACCGGTCGCATCCGTCTTATTCATTGTTATCAACCGCGACGTGATCGCCGTCTCCGTCGCAGTAGGCCTCTCTTATCATCGTATAATAATAATAATAATACGCCCGATAGACGACGCTCTGACGTTTTCACCGCGCAGTCGTCGCAGTACTATGTGTCTCATTACGCCGAGCTCGTAAATCTCATCTCTCGATGTTCGTCAATAATAATAACAGGATTATTATACCTATACTCAAACTTCATATTATCATGCTATATTATTATATGGTGTACGCGCCGAGAACGGGACAAGTCGAAGAGACTATTATAATATAAATACATTATACTATAAAATAATATACGCGCCGCCGGCGCCGGACTCGGCGACGACGACGACGACGACAATAATAGCGACGTTTTGAAAAATATACTCTAAACGGTTATAAACGATCTGACGACGACGACGACGACGAAAAAACGTAAGTACATGTCGCACACGACCCACGACAACGACGACCACGGCCGCGACCACGAAACCCCGAGAGCGGAACGGAGAGAGACCAGCGCGAGTTCGAAAAATGTAAAAAAAAAAAAAAAAAAAAAACCAAGACGAAAACCATAAATCATGACGTCGTTTTCGTTTATTTAATAACGATTATACCCGCTTGGGTATACTATTAGGTATACGTATATTATTTTCCCGATCCAACTGTATGTATACGCACATATATGGGAAAACACGGCGGCCCGCCCTACATTATGGGTGGCTAGGTATGCCGTAGAAAATCCAACATCCCGTATATTATCGAACGTGTACATATATAATATAAAACAATATTAAACCACACCGTGTATGCGCCTGGACGGCCTTTACCGTATTATTATCGTGTATTATAATAACAGAACGGGTTTCCGGAGATTTTTGCAAAAATTCTACGGTATTACGCCAACACGACTGCACTGTACGTATGTACGCGCTTTGGGTGGGCGGTATAACCGCGACCACAGCTATAAAATTCCTCGGAAAATATAATATTTATACGTTACATTCAAATGGTTTTCTTTTTTTTTTTTAAGTGAAATAAATGTAGGAGAAAAGAAGGGAGAGGAAAACGGAATAAGAGACAATTGGATGCGATTGAGAATGATATGATGACGGACGGTATAGATCGGGTGAGAGTTCCGGATAAGTTGAAGTTTAGGACGAGGGTGACCGACCCCAAATATAGTTGAAATTAATTCGAAACAGAAAAATATGAAGCTAGGTTACGATACGTTTAAAAAAATACTACATAGAAAATTATACAGGGTGATCAATTCTCGATATGACAGGGTATCTCGTCAACGGGTCGATGGGAATTAAAAATGTCAAAACCAAAATATATTTAAATTAAAACTTCATCAATTAATGTAAATTTAAATACATGGGTCACAAACAATAACGGTAATGTAACAGTTTAAGACTGCTTGTTTATTAAATTTAAAAAAAAAAAACTAAAACAGGACGGACATACTTCGCACGTACGTGCAGCCACTGCTGTAGGTGGGAAGTTGGAAAGGTAGGATACAGACGGAAATATAATATATATATTGGTAAGCAACAATAAACCATTGCTAAGCAAAAACGATTCTGAGCCGCGTTAAGTCAATAATTTTGCTTTGTAACTGTGTGTTTTCGAGGAATTTAAGTTGTATTATGCACGTGCACATTTTTAATTGTAAACAATTTTAAATCTACTCAAAATGTGCAATATTTTGGTACATGCCAACGATCTTCTTAGCAATACTCTCATATTTCAATTAAAAAAAAACCCGCTGAACAAATATTTCAGTTCACTAATTAGTTCAATAATTGGTTTTAACATATTTATAATAAATTTCATGGTTTAATAAAAATACAGGGTTATTTCATCTATGGTTTTCTCTAATTATCGCAACCATTCCCAGTCAATATTGTTCATGAACATCATAGACGGAGAGTAAGGAAATCACAGTAAATTTATTGAGAAATCTACGGGAAAAACTATCGAATATTTCGAAAAATGATTCCAATAATTTTTTCCGCAACCGAATAGTTCGGTTATTTGGTTGTGCCGATCACTATATAATAATATCCTAACCCAGGTGTGTGCGCAGGGGGTGAGGAGATTAGGAGTTACGTACACCCAAGCTTGGCTTAAAAATACAAAAAATGTTAGTATTTCTTTAGTAATTTGATGATGAAGTATTTATATTTTAGCCAAGTTACAAAGGAAAAGCTTGACGTATTAAATAGAAATTGGCTTTTTATTGGATCTGATTTGTAAATTCTCATATTCGAGTTGGATAGGGAAAATTGAACGATTCATTCGCGATTCCTGTTCGCTACATTTCCTCCCACAGTGACAATTCTTGAACACACCACTGGCCTAACCTGCGTTAAATATTGAATTATACATTTTCGCAATAATACATTATACCTAATAATATTTCCATTGTATAATAATAATTGTACACTCGTAGTGTTATTATTGTTTCGTTTATTTATCGACTAATATATCAAATAATAGCATATATTAAAATGTATATTCGAATGAATTGCTTATAAAATATATTATATTAACGTTATCGTTATTAATATAGATCGATTCGTATAGTTTATTACACGACGACGACGATTGAAAAAAAAAAAAAAATACCAATTAATTTATTATTATTATTATAGTTTCTTTCTGTTATGTTAATACGTTATTAGGTACTATGAGTTCAACGTACGAGTTCAGCGGTCTTCATTGACCCAAATACAATAAGCGATTAACGTTATTTTTATTATATATAATGGAAAATTGTCGAGTTTGAAAGTACGTTTGGATAAATGTACAGTGTATACTTACTGATTTTATGTTTGTTTCTCGATAAATTGCGTGTTCGTTAAGACATTTTACAGGCACTTACTGCGTTTTACTCACAGTTTTAAAACCGCTTCAATGAGTAGACGACATTTTTAACAAACGTATATATTTGTTTGCAAATTTCGACCGTAATATTTCGTTCAAGATGTAATATTAATTCGATTTGTCGGAATTAACGGACTTAACGTCAGAATGTAAACAATGTTTTAATAAATAAATACGAGTTAATATAACCCGTTTTACAATAATATAAATGTTAACATTATACGGTTTGTCACGTATTCTCTAATAAATGTCAATAACAAATGAAATTCCAAAGATAATAAAAAAAAAAATTCAAAAATCTTCACTCCGACGCGTGACGTAAAGCAAATATGTAAAAATCAGTATCTGAGTGTTGTACACAAATATTTCAAATGCTAAACAACTAAATTCGATAATATCGCTGCACGTCGCTTATGCGAATTTCCGGGTAATCACGTCCGAATATTTCCATTATCAAAAAAGACAAGAGTAGAGTACAAAACGAGACGGTCAGGGCGCGGAAATTGAACGCGAAACCCCAAATGAGAAAAACTAGGGAAAGACCGACTGACACGGCGGAAGGAGATTTAAAAAAAGATTGCGAGTTTGAAACCATTAGAGTTAGACAAGTGGCCAAGTGTATTACAGTTATGGCGGCGAAATCTATAGAGGCTTACAGAGTAGTCATGCCCAGTAGAAGAAAAAGAAGAAGATAGAAATATATTCTACAGGGCATCACGCAGTAGGTAGGTGATTTCCTATGGCGTTTTAAAAATATTTATAATGAGCCCCGATGATATTTCGAAATCGATTTTTAAATGGGTGTAAGGTTCCGCCGACGTTCCATAAAGTGTGTAACAACGAAAAATAAAACTAATTTACTACTTCACAGTCGACCTATGTATAATAAATCTGTAACTCCGCCGAGTGATTCCGAAACGGCGAGACCTCTGCGCGAGCATGCGATGTGGCCGACCTAGCTACGCGCGCAAACTAATTGAACGATAAATTTCAATATCTCGATAATTCATACGAGAATACGATATATATTTAGAGAGAAAAAAAAAATAAAAGGAAAAAATACAGTCGTAAATAATAATCCACCGATGTAAAATTGTTTTTATTAGGTGTTAATCGTACACCTATAACGTATAAATATATATATATATATATATATATATATAAGTACGATATAAAGTATTTTATTCTCCTACGCTCCTCCTCGTCCGGTATATTATTACTGATTTTTTTATTCTATTTTTTTTTTTTTTGTAATCTTCGAACGCGCACTCGCACACACACACAATCCGGTTGTGTTTACAACGGTATGTCGGTACCGACAACACGCGTGTATAATAATATAATATGAATTATACATCGGAAGAGGGAAGGCTATAGGAGGCTATACCTATATATATATATATATATATAATATTATTATACGCGACTTTGCACAACAACAGTCGTATCGATTTGCCCGTACCGCAGCGAAAACCATCTAAATCATATTATAGCCTGTTTATATAATACGCGGCCCGTGAACCGTATACGCGCATTTTTTTTTTTCTCCAGTGCTCGATCTAAGTACGACGATGTAGCATACAATATATGTATAAATATATGTAGGTATATAATACGCAATAATAATTCATCGCGTGTAAACAACGTGAAACATACGCGTTATTAAGTATAGATCGGTACACTGTTACCGTGTATTATATTCTATACGTGTATTTATGTACCGCGGTTACCGCGGGTGTGTTTCCGAACGAAATACCTATAAATATACATCGGCTAGAGTACGGTGTGCGCGCAAAAGCTACGTGCGACCAATAAATAGTAACCGTCCGTGCACGCTAACTGGCCAGTACGGGAAATCATTAAGAAACGTAATATTATTATTGTTTTATTTGGTCCGTACGAAAAAAAAAAAAAAAAAAAGACGTAACGGGGCTTTGTATCGATTGTACGAAATATCCAATAAGGACATTGGCGAAAAACGCTGACGATCGGTAGTGATCGGACGGACCGGATAAACGAGAAACGGCAATCGCTCGGCGTAGACCAACGGGCCGGACGGAAAGCCGCTGCGGATGGAAAGCATCACACGGAACTGGTACGGACGAGTGTGCGACACCGGACTGGGCGTCGGCCCGAGAAAATACGCGGAGAGGTTCATCAGCGGATCCTTCAATGGATCGTCGACCTGTTGAATGATAACAAAAGAAAATACGTAGAGTATGACGCGGCCACGGTAGTTCAGCGGTCCAGACTCGGGTTCTATTCCCGATCCGGCCCCCTGATTCTTAACACTATTTCCCGGACGAGAACGGCCGAGGAGAGGTACCTCGAAACAATGTCGTATCGATAGACTATAATAGTGCAATAAATAGTATATCCACTGAAAGTACCTCCGGTCTCAATCATGTCCGATAATTTGATTTACATGTCCATGACATACATGACGTATTTCCACTGACTCTGTGTAAACTACGGAAGTATCCGTTGCGAGTAATAACAGTTGTTTACCGTTTAAGTTATATTCGAAAAAGTTAACATACAACATTATGCGTTTGAAAAAATAAAAATGATTTTAACATACCGCCCGATAGTCGCTCTCGTAAAAGAACATGACAGTGTGCTATCACTGTCAAAGAAAAATGTGCGTGATTGCGTGAATGTGATATTATGTATGCATGACAGTACTAGAATGTGAAAGTAAAATTGTAACAGTAAATCTCGTGGAGTTCGTACGGTTATACTTTCGTGAGAGACGCTATCACGAGATAGCGTCCAATGTCCTATGCGATCGGAGAACACTCTATAAAAGACGAAACTATACAGAGCGATTATAGACAATCGGTGTGAATATAAAAAAAAAAAAAAAAAAACAATAACTGTAGAATCTTGTTTTTAATTTTCCAGCTTGGCCAAAAAAAATGTTAGTTCCTTGTACATTTTAGCGGAACGGCTATATTTCCCGTGGTGAAAATGGCATAAGTATTAGTATTATAAATAGTGGTATAAGTATACCAGCAAACCAAGGATTTTAGAAGTATTTCAAATTTCAATATTTGTAGATTGATTTTACAGCCACGATAATCCGATAATCACACCTCGGGTTTAATGAATACCGTTTCCGGACTATTGAAATTGAAAAAAAAAAATTATACGAGTAAAATTCAATACAGGATCGTGACTAACAGGTTGTTCCCGGGTTACAGCAGGTGCAAATTTCGCGAATACGATTCCACGGTATATCGAGTACAGAATAGATAAATACCTATTTCGCGATCCGTCGAGTCGGAATTTTTATTATTTCCGGTAACTATTTCGCACGGCATATTATTTAATACGTATTGCTATATTACGTGCACCTACGAGTTTGTTGATCTCTAAATTCGCAATTTTTATTTTTATCACGTTTATCGCGGTTCTAGACCCCGGTAATTTCAAGTTTTGATATTTGCCAAAATTACAAACAACCTACATTTCCAGTTGAGATGTGAACAACTTTGAACCGTGCAATTCACGCGGGGCCGTCAAAAGTGCCCGAAATGTTCGGTCGTTCCATTTTAAATCAGTGAAGTAATTAGGATTTTGTATTGGGGTTGGCTGAATACGTATTCGCTTGAATACATATTCATACTTGAATCATAGACGTAGTATGAAAAGAGAAAACTCAATAATAAAATGAGAATACGTGTACATGTATATCTATCAGTATCCTATGTAACTATACCACGATATTATACTCGGAATATACACCCGTGAAGTTTTGAGGGGAATTTTGAACGAAGGCAGTATTCATGTCGTATTCATTGATGTTTTCTTTTTTATTTATAAAATATACTAGCGGTCCCGCGCTCGGCGTTATTGCATATCGTCAGAATACGCGTGCAGAGAAAGATATTACGCGGTAACGGAGTGAGGGAGACAATTTAAAAAAAAAATAACAAACGATGAATATTGTTGTCGTAAAAAATGCCGTTCGGGTTCTTTCGACTACGGGCGAAGGTGCACAGGTATCTGACACTTGATTTATCGACGAGTCCGCGGCAAAAGTCCGGTGGCGACCGGCTCCAATGGCGGTTTTTCACGCGCCCGTGCGTTTCGATCGCTACCGGCGCACAACAGAGGATTCTGCGATTCTTTCTCGCGCCCCGGACGCTGCGGGTTCGCTTGTATTTAATCGGTTGGTTTCCCCTTCCCACCCATTATTTTTGTTGTTTCTCGTTTTATCCGCCGGACGAAAATCTCGTGACCGCGCCAAAGGAGCGAGCTGCTATAACGACAGCCGCGCGAGTAGCCGTTGTATCGTATCGCGGGGGCCGATTGATTTACGCCGCCTCGGAGTTCGTCTCGCCTATAAATTGATTTGTCGCTGGGAGATCTTCATTGGCGAATAATTTCGTGTGCGCGTGTACCGACCCGTGTACTTATACGGACGGAAGACTGTATAATAATGCAAATGCGAAACCGAGTTTTCGTCGGGGAATTTTCGAAAAACGTTACGGGTATGAATACGGAGATTCCGCGAGCCGAAAACCGAAATAAAAAAAACTACCAATACGTTTGTTTTTTTTTTTTTTTTTCTGCCAAACGGAGACGCCCCGGATTCCTTTGTGCGCCTGTGTAGGTGCTCGCGTACGCACAACAATATTATTATACTACACCGTACGAAAGTATTGTTATACCGACGCGATTCGACGATTCCAATTCAACGCGCGCCGGCGGGTTCGGGTTTTTTTACGACCCGTCGACGTATCGCAGACTCGCGTTCGCTCGTGTTCCGCGACCGGCGACCGTCTCGGAATAATTTTCCACCGGTACACCGGGCGCGTGTGGTGGGTACTTTTGGCGAACGGACACGCGAAACTCGCGACCGAACGGACTACGGTATGGACAACGATAATAATACTGATTAACGTCGCGGTGAAACCGATTTAATCGGTCAATTACAATGCGCCGTACGTTATATTATTATGGTACCCCATTCGTAAAAATCGAATTTCGTTCGACGTCTGTTGCCGGCCCACCGTACGCCCGTGCGTTACGAGCACGCGCGTTCCGTTTCGCAATAATACCGTTTACTACGGCGTTGGTTCGCGTTCGGCCCCGAAAATTCGTTAAACACCGCCAATTACCATGCGTCCAATACGACGTGTTCATGCACACCCCCGCGTACAGTACACATCATTACCATTATCGTTATTATTATACGTTCCCCGACCGTATTAACCGCGTGTGTAAACATTTGCCCGATTCGTTCAATCGGCCGTGCGCAAACGCCGAACGCGCACGATACACGCGAAATAATATTGTGTATCATCGCACTCGCTATTGTTACTGTTACCGGAGTTCGGACGTCGTAGGCGTTTTCTTTATTGACGCTTTTTTCGTTTCTTTTGCATTTTTTTTTTTTTTTTTATTTATCTATAAACGTTTTATCTAAAACACATCCGAACTCTAATTGTTATATGACATCTTGTTTCGTCCTGGATCGTGTGTGATCCGGCGTACAGTTTTCCGTACCGTGTTATCGGTTACTATGTAATTCTACTATCACGGAGTATCGGCGAAATCAGCTCTATTGCATAATGTGCACGGTGTTACCCGATTACCGCCGCCCGACGAACATTGGCCGATTATTTTGTTTTCGGTTGTTATAACACGGTCGA